AAAAAATAAAAAGAGAAAGAAAAGAAAGAAAAACCATAAAATTTAAAATAAGTATAACAAAAGAGACGAAATGAATCAGAAAGGGATTGAGGCTAGACTAAGTTTCTTCATCGGTTACGATCAGATTATGTAACAACAAATAAAAGACAGTGTACGCCAATCTACTTTTGCGGCCCCTTCTCGTTGTAAATCTCACATGATGAGACGTTCACCCTTTCGACTGTACGTCCTCGGTCGACGGGAGATCGGTCCACTGGTTCGTGAGGCCACCCTTGAAGGGCACACGCCCTCTCCGCAATGAAATCTCTCGCATCTCACCACGCCTTCCATTTAACCGGACGCTTTTTGTCGAACGTGCTTTTAAAGACTCCGATTCAGTTCCGTGCATCCTTTTCTCGTTTTCTTCCCAACAGTCTGCCTTTGTTTCGTTCCTCGAGCATTGTCAGACATAATTTGTACCGTCACGAGCTCGTCCAGTGGTACGAATTCAACTTTCCTTTATCTTTTCCAATAAATTCTTTTCATGCCCCGCTTGTTCAACTTCAATTTGTAAAAGTTGATTAATTCACAGAAATATTTTCATCGTCATATCTCCACTCTGCACTGTACTTTCTAAAAAAACAATTGACAAAAGGAAGGGACTACCGAAAATTCAACACGACCGAGTATACGTATATCATTTGAAAGATTGCCCCAATTACAGACACGAAACGAACACTAATCACGCAAAACTAGCCGTCATCATTTTAATGCGTCACGCAGCCTTTTCGAGTTTGCTCGACTACTTCTTCTCTTTCCCCGAGTTAACCAGCTCGAGTATGTAACTCGGTTCGTTGCTCGGAGGTGCAGAAGGGCTGGTTTCTTGTTCAAAATTCACGCGTGATTACAGGCTCATCGGTTTAACAGGTTTGCCGTGCCCCGGGCCCGATTCCGAACACCGCCCAGCTAAAGAAATCAGCCCTCGGATCCGTAGATGCTCCGTCGTGATCTATCGATAATCCAACCGGATGTATCAGCCTCATTTTATTTCATACTACTTTCTCATATTTAAATAGGAAAGTCTCAAGAAAATAAATTCTACGTTCATTTCAACGCACGTTTCAAATCTCATATTTTCATTAGATTTCGATGATTTATTTAATAGAAATGAAACTCATTCTTCAATGATCGCATTTTAATGTTACGTATTTTAAATGGTTTTCACGATACGAAAGTGGATTGGTGCATTGACAATAGTATTTAAATGAGCAGAAGTTCGAATGTTGCTATTATAAACCATTGACCCAGGCGTCGCGCACTATTCTTGGTGTAAATGCTGGAACACTTGAAGGGGAGGTAAACGATCTATTTAAAGTGATGGATGACCACTTCCGGGATACGGGAATTCCAAGTTCTCAAGTTTCTTAATGCTAATAGTAGTAGCCGAAGTAACAGAGCTTTAACACTAATATTTTTCATCCCCAGCGATTTACTACTCCCTCTTTTCTCACGTCGAATCTAAACCGCTACTACGATAGTATCGAATCCAAATATTTTCCTTCCGTTTGTATTTGTAGCCAGTATTACGACACGATCTACGAGTCATTCTAAATTATCTACAATTTCCTATGCCTCAATCTTATCTTTGCATACTTTTTATTGTATATCTCAAATTGACGTTATTCCAACTTTGAAATATTCTTAAATCATCTATTAAGAATTATACAAAATTACAAAATTCTCTCATTGTTGCATTCATATTTTTTTATAAATGAAAATAAATCGTAACTGATTCAATTATCATCGATCTAATCTTAATTACGCGAATTACTTTATTACAGCGTGAACGATGATTTTCCTTAATTAATTTTAGCTTTCAAGCGTAAATTTGCGACAGGGTCAACAGACTTTCGGACACGGTCGTAGCCGATCGGACGTTTCGTGCGGACGCGAATTTGGGCAGCGTATCTCCCAGAACGGGGAGAAGCACGTCGCCAAGCTGTCTCGATGGAACGTCAGAATTCGTAGGAGGGGGGGGGGAGGGGTATCCGTAAATGGCTTGAACCTGTTTCGGTACTTACAGGTGGTCGCGTCGAGCCGCGGGACCGGCGACTCTCTTCTCCGATGCCTTCTCCTCCGGATCTCTCGCGGTTACGCCCTTCGCTTTGAAACGAGATTAGGTCACGATCACGTCGCCGACGTGACTCTCCACGACGCGAAACCCCCCTTTCGCCCACGGCGATCAGGGTCTTATCGAGTTACGCGCCGTTTAACGTTCGATTCAAAACGCATACAAGCAACTCGTATCTCCCTTCTGTTCATTCTTTTTCTCGGTTTTAATGAATTCATACAGGGGATTACTTTCGTTGGGTATTGAGAGACTTTGAGATGCGGCACAATGGAGAAACGAGATGTTTTATTAATGGGATATTCCTGCTGTGTTCAAGACTTTGTCTTCGTTCAAAGAATTAGTGGCTATTCGCACATCTGAATATCTGTCCATAAAAGATCGTAAACGTTCCGAATCCAACGTTTAATATAAATTCTAACACAAATATTTTCTATTCATTTGCGTAGCAATTTTCATTTCTCCTATGCACGTTATGAGAGTCTCGTACCGTTGAATATCTCCTAAGCATACAAACGCTACCGTGGAAGATCGCGTGGTTAATACCGGTAGAACGGAGACGCGCCATAAATTTGTTGCCGGTCGAACTCGAACGATCGCCAGTTTATTTTTCTTGAAAAATGACGAAACGCCCGGAGGAGCTACTCCGGGGGACGAGCGAGCTCCCTCGGTCTTCGACCGCGAAGGGTTAACGTTCTTTAAATTCGTATACACGCGGTAGGGCCCCGGGCGAAAAAGGGCAGGCCATGGGGAGCCAAAGAATAAAAAATGTATGCGGGCAAAACCATCAATTAACCACGCTGCTGATTTCATAAGCAGACGAAAGCGCGTGTCAGCGAGAAATCTTCATCGTTTCGAGAGAACGAACAGAAGGATATTCCTCTTTGTTTTGGCTATTGATTGTTCCCAGCGAAAGTGAATTCAGTATTCACGAGCCGAATTAGGGTTACCACGTGTCCCCTTTTCCCTAGACGTGTCCTCTTTCTCAGACCTCAAGGGGTCTTACCAGTGTGTAATTTAAAAAAAAATCGACTTTTTTCTATTGCATTTTTCGAAAGTTTATGCCTTCAAAAATATCGTACTAAAATTTCAAGATCGGATCTCAACTAGTTTTCGAATGGCAACCTTCTAATAATATTACTATAATATACGTAATAATGTTATAGTTAATACTTTAAACGCGTTTTCCTTGAAATAGTATTTTTCAAATTTATTGACACTATAATTCAAGGACCAATTATCCAATTAACTTGAAATTTTAACAGAGTGTTTCAGACATGCTTTATTGTTGAATGACGTAGGATATTTTTGACTGGATGAAAATTGTAATTTTGGCAACGAAAAATTTTTTTAAGGAAAATCGAAAAATTTCTTAGAAACTCCGCCATTTTGTCAGATTTCAACATTTCTCGGATATCCTAGATCATACAACGGAGAATACTTTTTAGTTTAAGAGCGTCTTTGTCTTTTTTCATTTCAGGCACCCTAGCGAACTGTATGATGTCAGCAGTTGAAGCACTTTTTTTTGGCATCTCGGGAGATAGCGCATAACTTGGTCGCCTTTAGTTATTTTTGTATTAAAATATTACTTTACACAATTCATGTATAGGCAAATACATCCATAAAGTTTAAAAAAATTCCACAGAATACCTTTTTTAAAAAAAAATTCCCAAAAATGACCTAAATTTTTGGCGGTCACACTGGGAAGGCCCCTTAAAATTCACTCCAGCCGGGTTTCGTTCATTTCAATTTGTAAAATCAATTCATTCATCAGTCATCACGATTCATAAATCAATATAATTTTATTTAGCAGGCTCAATAAACAGAGGAGGCAAGCAAGTTAACCACGGAATCTGTCAGAGACACGTCTTTTAATTCACGAAATTTCGAGATCTGATTGTTAATTCTATCACTTAGGTAACATTTCAATTACTCATACAATCCAACAAATAATTTTAATTCCGCCGGAATAAGAAGGTATCTGACGAAATAATTAATCGCGCGCCACCGTGGACAATGTAATGCTGCGGCAGCGGAATGTTAATCGAGCTGTCGAAAAAAACCGGTCCCCGGGCCAAGGGGAAAAAGAAGAACGAGCCCCGCGTCCCTGTCCATTTATTCATTCGCGAATACCGCTCGGATGAACTTTCGCCGCGCTACGACGCACACACGTGACACGTCGCGTCGCTTTCATTGTCAGAGACGAACGAACCGAACGGGTGATGAATAAAAACGATACGCGTGTACGTATCAGGCCGGGCCGTTTGTAGTTTCGTCGTATGTAATATGTACCACGGCGGCGGTCTGGACCTCCTAATGTTGCGCTGCGCTCCGAGCGCATGCATTATTAATACGTTTTCGGCGCTCGTCCCTTCCCGAGAAAGGAACGCTGCTCTAGCAACGTATTCGAGCCGGATTTCAATATCAAATTCTAATCAGAAAAACATTTTCACTCCACGGTCTATCGTTTATGAGCTCCGCATTTTTATCCGAAATAAACCATTTTTTATATCGATTCAAAGAATGAAATATTAACACTAGATTGCCCAAGGAAGTCATTTTGACTGGTTTTGGGCAAATTTACAAATAATAATGCATAAATTATTTTTNTTCTTTTACAATGCAGTCATTTTTACTGCTTTGGGCAATATAGGTATGTACTAAGTTTCAGTCTTTCTAGTGTCAAATAAGACAAAAATGATAATACGTACTTTGGTTTTGATATTTTATATCTGTTTGGCTATTATTGAGTTGACAACTAAGTGATTGCGAATTTTAAATAAAAAGTCTATCGACAAACTGTGCAATTATTTAGTTGCCAACTCAATACGTGGATTTCTTGTATTTTGTAGAAAGTAATTACATCGCGTAAATGGATACTGGGAAGACTCACCCATAAGACCACAGTGGCTCGTCTTGCTTCCGCTAGCGACGTCGCTCGAACGATCGCGATGCATAGCGCGGGGCCGCATTCTCTGGATGGCGTGTTCCAACGAGAACTCTGTAGAATCCTTGTCATCCTTCGGCCAGGGTTCCGTCGGTTTAATTACGTAGGTTCCCGTCGACGTTCTCACGTGGCCCGTCTGCAACAGAAAAAGTGTCCGAAAAATCCGGTGAGTCACCATGCGCCATGATTGGCTTTTATCTCCTCAATGAAACGAGCTACCTACTGCTCGTTAACTCGTTTCTTTTCTTTTCCCTCCCCTACTTCCTCCGCTCGTGTTACTCTTTTCGCGTAGCGAGCGTCGAACCGTGAAATTTCAGCCAATTGTCCGCACAATTTACTAGCCGGATGATCTTCGATTCGATCGACGACGATCCAATTTCAACTTTCTCTACGTTCCACGTGTACTTTTTTAGCTGAACATTAAAGAAGATTTTAGTTCTGGTGTTCAATCGGTGATTCTGTTGAGTCGCGCCGGTTTAATCGAGGCTGAAAATCAGGACTCACACGAATTATGCAACTGAACAATTTCACAGAATCAACAAGTCCATTCATCTATTCTTATAGACCGTAGATCAATGTCCAGTGGCGTGAATCACCCGCGGCATACTAAAAGACTCACCGCGTCGAAATTTTGGCAATCCTATCTTTCTTTTCGGGAATACCACTGGCATTTCCGACCGATGCTGCCAGTTTTTAATCCACTCGTAAAACCCGTTGCGTCCAGAACGATTTTTGTTAGAAGTTTATCCGAAAAACATTGTAACCGGAAGTTACGGTATTCATGAAAATGTCGTGAGTCTTGATTTTCAGCCTCGATTAAACCGACGCGTCTCAACAGAATCACCGATTGAACTCCAGGACTTAAATCTTGTTCACTATTCAAGTAAAAAAATTGTCCTATTTGTACACTTTGTACATTTGCTAAGTAGATAAAATTTGAATGAAGTCGTAATTTAAGCTTAAATCTAGCTTGAAATGAAATTTAATATAAGCTCGTAAATTGATTCTAGAATAATTTTGTTATGAATTGACAAGTAGTGAGCTTCGTTCCTTTTTTAATTTGTTCAAAAGCTTACTGGTCGTTCGAACACGGCGCACGGCCGCAGATAGCGAAAACGCTTCGCGGATTAGCCGGCCGCATATACGACATACATATGTATATACATACGTTCGCGATTTATTTATACATGCAGCGGTGCCCTGACATAACTTCCTCGATTTGAATGCGAAACACACCGGCTACACACGGGACGCCCCCGCTAAATATATACCACCCACGTAAATTCCGTGTGAGGGCAAACCCCATGGACCAACGGACGAGCGGATCAGGTGAAAATAATAATTGATTAAAAACCATTCGTACAGTCGCCGTCACGAGTCTCCTAAGGTTCTACCTATATCCATAAGATCTCTGCCAAAAGTTTAAGACATCTAATAAAAAGCTGTGTCCAATATTTGAAGCAATGAACTTTTATTATATGGTTCATACAACCTTAAATGAGGAGAAATAATTTATTTTATTTAAACATCAATCGATATTTACAAGGAATGTCTGACACAATTATTCAAAAAAGTGTTTGTTAAATTGATGTATAATTTCAGTTCTTAAATATTTATAGTAACTGTATTAAAACGTCTCCATGTAATATAATCGATTCAAATTGGATTACATTCAACATAACATTTCAATTATTAAACTCAGATCCCATTGAATTCGATTTTAAATTTCAATTCAAATTGAGTTGCATTCAATTTTTTAATGGTGTTAATTAAAAGCTGTTAAAATTTGATTTGAAGCGATGAATTATTTAGAAAAAATGACAATTACAGAGGAATTAGGTTTATAAAATTGTTCCACCTGATTTTCTCCCTTGCTGACCGATCGTTTCGCTAAGAAACTCTGTGCTTTTTTATATCATTATTTGTGACCACGAAAATCTTAGAAAATTCCTGCGTACTGAATAGCACTGTTTTTTTTTTTTTAATTTTCTTAATAGTTAGAAGAGGAAATGGAATTTCAGTTGTAAGTTACCCTTACAATTTTTATTTGGTCGTTTCGTAAACTGTGTCAAGTGTTATGAACGGGAGTGTACGTACGTATGCACGCTTTCTAGCGTTTGTTACGCCTCGTTACGGATCCGATCTCGATCTGATTACATAATCATTCTGTATGTAATAAATTTACATGTACTTTGTACTTCAAATATTGCGATTGATTTTCTCTTGTCACATTTTTAGTTCTTTTAGAACCTCTGATTCTCCACTGCCTTTTGCATTCATTTCATTTAAATTGTTTTAAGAACATCTCACAGGGTGTACATATTGATTAATAAAATAACTGACGATTTATTAATAATAATAAATTCATGGCAAGATTAAGGCGTTGTCTTAGATTTTTTACAGCCACTGATGAATGTTCACAGGTGAGTACAAGATAATTGGGTGGTTTCTCTTCTTAGGCGATGTACACGTAGCAGAAATAAAATCGATCCCAATGAATAATGGCATCCGCGGGGATTAAACAAACACGATGCGTGACCAAAAAAAATACATAATGCTACGCACGTAAGGTTCCGATCAGCCGCGAAATTGCTCATTGCTCGTTGATCAACGACGGGGTCTAATTAAGAAACTTATAATTAGCGTCGATCGTTGCACGGTAGATAAGGAGTCGCGACTCCGACTGGCCGAGTCGGAGAAAGTTGACCCAATTAATTATTACTCCTAATTATAGGAATCCCGGGCTGGTCGTCGACAGGAAACAACCGGGTGAAAAACGACTCGATTTACTCGCAGGCTGATTTAACGGATAGACTCATATTAATCCATTATCGACTTAAACTCATTCTCACTTCTGCCGGAGCTAATAGAATTATTAGGACCGGATGCAAGGATCCTGTGCTGCGAATCTGGATAACGTATCTCAATCGCTGTATGTCTCAATTCGAGATTATATTGCTTATGCGTTGGGCGTACTAAGATTTACGATTAAATATCCGGTATTGCACTCGGGCAACGTTCTGCAGTGTACTCGTGCTTCATATCGTCAGGAGAGGACCGCACGACTTTCCTTCTGATCACTTTTTCATTTCTGTAACTTCAATTAACACTATTTCTACCAAGCGGTGCCAAAAGACATCATTTGAAATTTTCCCCCAAAATTATTATCATTTAATCGTTTTTCTTCGATTCAATTAATTAATTTAACAACCAGTATAGGAATAGTCAAGAATTTAACACTAGATTGCCCAAAGAAGTCATTTTGACTGCTTTTCGGCAAATATACAAATAATAATGCATAAATTATTTTTCCCCAGGTGAAAGTAAACTTTTTTTATTGTTAACATTTACTAATAACTTGTTATATGACTGTAAATAATATAAAAAATATTAAAAATAAGTTTTAGACAAATTTCTTTACACATTATTCTTTCACAATCCAGTCATTTTTACTGCTTTTGAGCAATATAGGTATATACTAAGTTTCAGTCTTTCTAGTGTTAATTGAGGAAAAATTAAATTAATAATAATAATAATTTTTAAAATTTCAGGTGTCTTTTGACACCAGTAAAAATTGTATTAAATTGTATAACTTTTCCTACTGTCTTTCCCTCCCAACAATCGTTTTTGAAGATACCTTTCGTTTAGAATTTGTTTAAGCTGCAAGCAGTGACCTAAGGCCGAGGCCGGTTGATATCCTTGGCGTATGTTGCATTGTAAATACATGGCTATAAAATTGTTTTCTTTGCTTCAAATATTCATGACCTATGCTAATAACGAAGCGAACGTTTACAGGTCTTCACAGCACCTATAGTATCGGGAATACAATAAGCCATAGACACCTTATCATTCTGAGTCCTTACTTTTTTAGACTTCGTTTATCCTTTCTCCTTCGGCTATTATGAGGCTATCTAACATTAATAATTTTTATATTATGTACTATAAGTTTTTCTTCTGTTCATTAATTATAATTCCTATTTATTCGATTGAAAAACGTTGGAAAGGTTGATAAGCGTTGCTCCACATACTCTGCGTAAAACTGCATTCGTGCACAAGCTCGTAAATAGAAAAGCAGCTGCAGGAACGGAACAAAGGAAGCAAAATAAGAAAGCGAAGGAACTTCTGATGCAAGTATGTACCTACGTACACACCAGTCCATAAGTTAGACGATGTATAAAAGATACAATCCAACGAGAAATCGCGACAGTAGCCAGTTTCATTCGAATCGAATTTCAGGGGCTATACCAGTGTGACAGTTTAAAATTTAGGCGATCTTTGGGAATTTTTTTGAAAAAGAGTATTCCATCGAATGTTTTCAAACTCTAGGGATGTATTTGCCTGTCTAAAAGCGTCGAACGCCTGGAAAAAAGAATTTATTAAAACATTTTGCTATTATTGGAAACTAGATTCATCGAATTGTTTCGATTTAATAAATTTTTAGATCGTGTCCAGATATTTACATTCGCTATCGACCAGTGGAAGACAGCGCGGGGCTTCAGTCGTCGCTCGGACTACGACAACCGTAAACGGGCACTCCGGTGTGTAAACCACCTCGGGTAAAAAAACAAGTTCACCTTTACGAATACCTCGCTCGGCGCGTTGCGCGTTTCATTCAGAAGCTTACTCACAATCAGTGCGCGTGTCCGCGCGCGTATTTCACGACACGCACAGGGGTAGGAGGAGTAAAATTTATTAGCCAGCTGGAAATCCGTCTCATTGTCGATCCTGCCGTTTCCCTTTACCGTCTCCGTTATATCCACGGTTTTCTTTCATCTGTCAGCTTCTTTTAACGTGTGAAAAATTCAGGGTACGACATTTTCTCCGAAACCGAAGGAAAACGAAATTAAACATGGAGACGATTCCTTTATACTTTGGCATTTAATTCTTAATACTTCGCAATGCATATTTGAACATGAAGTGATTTTACACTTTCCTTGATTCTTTTCCTTT